TAAGTACCCACCAACACTCAGAGCCAATATCAGGCCTCAGGAACCCTTTGGTACACTCCTCCTGTTCTAAATATGGAGACTTAGGCCAGTGAGTTTCACCTAAGGCATCTTCTAGGTTGCCATGAGTAATAAGCAGCTACTGGTGACTGACTCAGGACCAAGCTGTATTTCTTTTGTTGCTTGGATGCCCACAGCAAGGTAAGTCTTGCTGGAATCTTTATGCGTGAGAAATCTATGGGTTTGAAGTTTGGCCTAAGGCTACATACATAGTGACAGACTGGCTTCCAGATATCTTATCCCACTGTCTCTACATTCGTGACCTTCAGCATAAAGACTGAACCACAGTCTCTAGCCTCCCACACCAATAGAACCACATGGATACCATGCCCCTTAGTCCAGAGACTGGGGCTCATCACCGCCATCTATATTCTTGTCAGTTCTTCCGCATGAAGCCCTTAGGCCCATCAAGGTGTCCAGCTTTGTCTTCCCTCTGGTCTGTGGTCTTTGACTCTGTGGTGGTTTGAAGAAAAATGGCCCCACAGGCCCATAGGGAGTGGCACTATTAGGAGGTGTGGCCTTGTTGGAGTAGGTGTGACCTTACTGGAGGAAGTGTGTCACTGTGGGGTGGGCTTTGATGTTTCAGAAGCTCAAGCCAGGCCTGGTGGTGTTCACTGTCTCTTCCTGCTGCCTGCGGATCCAGGTGTAGAACTCTCAGGGACCTCTCCAGCACCATGTCTGCCTGCGTGCTGCTGTGTGTCCCGAAAATAACAGACTGTACTTCTGAAACTGTAAGCTGCCCTAGGTAAGGTTTTTCCTTTATAAGAGTTGCTGCAGTCATGGTGTCTCTTCACAGCAATGGAACACCAACTGAGCCCGCCTCCTTAGCTCTATGTACTTTACCTCCCTCCCGCTCCAGTCAGCTCAGACTGCCCTTTCTCCTTTCGCCTCAGAGTCACCTGACTGGGATGCTGCTCCTCGCTTGCCTTCGACAGTGGTCAAAATGTCACCCATCAACATGCTGTCTTCTCCCCTTTGACTCTGCAGCACGGTGCCTCCTGACAGAATAGATGCTCAGCTAAAGGCTGCTAAATGAATGAATTAAAACCAGTGCATTCCAAAAATCTCTCCTGTGTGGTACTTATACAAATAATTTTATTAAACATCCATATTCCAGAAATGTTCACCCAGGGACTGGTGGTTGGGAATGCATCCGCCTGGACCTCTTTTATGCCTGACAGACACACAGCTACACAGTTGCCACTCAGTATCAACAGGGGATGGGTTTCAGAGTGCCCAAAGCCTTGCCTGCACAAGCCCTTTATATACAATGGCACCATGTGTACGTATAAGTGACACAATGTGTATATACAACGACACAATGTGTACTTATAAGTCTTGCACTCCATTCATTGTGCTTTCAGTAATCTTTAGATCACCTATAACGCCCAATACAGACCAAGGCTCTACAAGTAGTTTTACACGTGAGAAGCAGTGACAAGAAAAGTCTAGACATATTCAACAGGAACACAACATACTTTTCCAAATATTTCCAATGTATTTTAAAATCTTCAGAAGTCAGCTGGATCTCAGGTGGAGAATGCCAGCGGCATGTGCATGTGGTATCTCCATAGGATTCATTTGTGGGGTGATAACATAATCACCTCATGTGCTATATTATGTGTATTATATATCTTAGTCTATAATACAATGTGTGTATATATGTGTGTGTGTGTGTGTGTATCTCCACATGTATGGTGTGTGTGACTGCAAATATTCCAGATACATTTTTCTCTAGTTTTCTTTTCTCATTTAATCTCATACTTCCAAACCAAGGCCCCTTTGTTCTATATGTTACTACACATTATTTTTCTAAAGTAAGAATAGAATTTCTCGCCCTTAGTGAAGCGCTCCCAGAAGCAGAGTGGGGCAGTTGTTAGACTATGATCAGTCCTCCTGTGTTTCTACGCTAGCATCAAGGTGAGGATGAATGAACACGCATTCACCAATGTACAGCAACGGCACCAGAATGGGAGGTGAGGAGCAGGCAGATAGACAGAGAAGAGTGTGAGATGTTTCAGGATGGGGATGGAGGAGAAAGATGGATACAAAAGAAAAGTTAGGGCTTCAGCACTGTGTTACTTAATAGCAATGCATGGAGAGGAGGTGTGGGCAGAAGGTGATACAGAAGAGCTAGACACCACTCTGGTCCGGTCCAGGAGGTCAAGAGAGATGAGCACCTATGAAGAGAAGCCACGGCACAGGCAGCCCCACCACAGCCTCAGAGGCCAAGGCGACGGCCATTAAAGCTTGCCCCAACTGGTATCCTCTTCCCTGTAAAGAAGGCAGAAAAACTGTCTCCCAGTGATTTTTGTCGTAAGGCTTTCCAACAAGTGGGAGCCGGTTTCCAAGTAGAACTTGTTTATGTCCACCTGGATCCTCAACGTTCAAAACAAACTTGCAAACAAAGGGCTCCCTGCCCTATAGCTGTCACCTCTGTGCTCTGGCCCAGAGGGAGCCATGGCTCTCTGCTTTGCTGATGACTTCCACAGCCGCAGATCACCACCCCCACTTCCCCCTGTGTCTTTCCTGCTACCTCCGATTGTTGTGGACATCCTCCTAGGAACAGCTTTGGGACCTTTTGAAAGAAACCCTTTCTTCCTAGATTTAGAACCTTGAAGAGAAAATAATAGTATTGCCCTCATAGAAGTTTCTTGGATCTTTTAGAGGGGTCCATGGTCCAGAGATCTCTTCTAAGGACTGAATTTGACAGCCTCCAGCAGGATATGTTGTTGAAAGAATCCCAGAGTAGACGAACCAGCAGTTAAACTGCATGTCGCTAGAAAAGGCTAAGGTGTGAAAAGGTTCAACAGGGAGCTGTCTAGGAAATGGCAGGGCTGTCACGGAGCACAGGGGCAAGTGAAGGATGCACTAGTGATTAGTCTACATTGTGTCTTCATGCATCGCACTCTGTTTCATACAGTAATTCAAAAGGTAGCTGCTGTCATTGTACCCATTTCATAGATGAAGATTTGACACTCGTAGAGGCCGAGTCTCTTGTCTGAAGTCACGCAGCTAGGAAGTGATGGGCTAAAGACAGCCTGTGGGCTCCTAACAAGGCCACCAGTCATGGGGCTTTCCTAACTTACGCTTTGTATGGTTAGCTGCCATCTTCTTTCCTGTCCCCAGTGGGGCTGATGCTCTGTGAGTGTAGAGGACTTTGACCTCCTGACCACTGTGCTCCTCCAGAACTGTATACAAGGCGAGCAAAGAATAAACCATTCCATATTACTGTTAATGAGTGGCTGGATGAAAAGGCATGTGTACCATTTTTCTATTCAACTTTGCTCTATAATCTGAAAAAAAAAGTTAATTGAAGTTTTGAGTGACAATATATGGAACTAGTTTGGTTGTTTTTATGCACCTTGTTTATCAGGACTTTCTCCCGGGGAGGGGGGGTAATAACTTTTCTCCAAGAATTAGAACCTAGTAAGATATTTTGGAATTGAGTAAGAAATCCTGTACTAAATCTGTAGGGGGTCTCCAGAGAGATCTTTGAGAAGAACTTAATAGTTTATTAGTCACTTCCTGTGTTTGCAGTGCTATTCCAGGCCTCTGTCCTTTTCAACACAGTGATGTATCTAAAAATCCCTTGGTATGCCTATTGAACTGTTTAATAAGGGAATCAGCCCGGAGCCTAGGCAGCTATACTTCCTCAAGTATCTCAAAACTTGTTACACACAGAACCACTAGGAGTCTGCTGGGATTGTTTTCAACCCTCCACCTCAACGGTCTATTTGGAATCCATTGCTATCTAAGGATTGACTTAGATCTATCTAAAGGCTGTCCAGCTACTGCCCTGCCTTGGGTTTGCGGCCATATCCTCCACAGTCCCGGCTGTTTATGGTAGGCACAAACACGCTATTTATCTTATAAGGTGTCTTTTCTCCGGTGTTAAGAGGGTTGCAGTCTCACCTTAACCGGAGACCCCAGACTCAAGCACCCGCGGTTATTTTCACATAAGACTTCTAGTTAACCCAGAAGGGTCTGCCCACAAGATGCTGTGCCCTAGTGCTACGAACACGGAGAGGTGGACATTCAGTTTTCTGAGGCCATACAAGCTCTAACCAGAGTCACTCTGTGGACCGGGTGGTATATACATTCTTCTAGTCTGGTTTGTTTGTTGTTGTTACATTTTAATAAGCATAAATTAGGCTGAGAGAGTCAGCAGTCATAGGAATGTAAAGAGCCCCACCCTATTTCGGTCAGTTGTCACTCAAAAAATATTTGAAAAATAGCCATGAGAACTAATTGCTAAAAAAATAACTTGAGGAAGAGCTAGTCGACTGTGCAGAAGCTGAAGTGGCCTTATGTCACGAGGTCACGTACCTGGCTGCCTTCCTCAGACATGAGAGAGCTTCAGGGTGAAGGTGCCGCGACCTTCCACAATTAGGGTTGTGTCATAAGTCAACGGTCACTTTGTCAACAAATATTTGCTGACACCTATTTGCCAGGCCGTGGCGGTGGGAGTCTACTGAGAAGACCCTTTTTTTTCCCCATAGAGTGAACATTTCTAGTGAGACAGAGGAGGTAAGCGATTATAACAAATTAATCTAGTGATCTCGGGAATCAAGAGAGTAATGGGTGGAGCGGGCACGAGTTGAAAGGATAAAGGGATCCCCGGCGTCTCATTCACTGGTCCGACCGCCCCATGCTCCAGTTCAGTAGGGACCTGCCCCAAACCATAGTGCATGCACCCAGCTTGTCCTGAGCTAAGGAAGAGCTCTCCTCCCGCAAAGCCAGTTTCTCCTTCTAAGTTCCTTCCAATGATAACTTTCTTTTCCTGTATCGGTTCACCCTTTAGACCCAAGTCCACCACCCCGTATTGGCCCCAGGACATCAGAGTCCTATTTTTTTCCGCCCACCACCCCCAGCACCCAAGCAGAAGCCCTGCAGGGCGGAGCCTCAGACACGCGCCGGCGCGTCCAGCAGGTGGCAGCAGCGAGCGGCCGCGCCCCCCGCGCTGCCAAGCCGCGAGCCCACATCATGGATGGCGAGCTCTCAGGTTTCGCCTGGCTCGCCCTGGCATCCCAGAACCCAGACGACCAGCGGGATTCATGAGCCGCTCTCAGGGGCCGGGGCAGGGGCCTCTGGCTCCCAAAGCTGGCCAAGAGGTGGGTCCCGGGGCGGGTCGCTGCTCCCGAGGCCGGGCGGGGACACTCTGCCCCCGCCCTGCCTCCCTGTGGTCCACACCCCCTTCGGGCTCCGCAGCCTGCCGGCTGGGATAACACAGGGTGCACGCGAGCCGGCGCTGCCAGCCCCGCTACTGCCCGGGGTTCGGGTCCCAGGTGCCGGGGACCGGGCACCCGAGTCCTCCTCGCCTGCCCCTCCTCCCTATTCACCTGCCCTACTCGTCCACTAGCCTTCAAGGCCAGCGACTCTAGCCCAGACGGCGAGGGACCAGCAGGGGGAGAGCGCACCTGAGGATACACAACTGGTCCTGCTCTGCCTTTTCACCCCTAGGTGATGAGTGAGGCCAGAAGAACGCAAGATTTAAAAAGCAACCGGGGCCTCCGTATTGAATGAAAGACCCACAGCGAAGGCATCACCATGAACACGAGCAGTAAGTGGATCCTCCTCTCCTTTGCCATGGGAACAGGGGTGGGGGCGGGAGGTTCAGGAGCCTGCGCCCCGGCTGCCTGGAAAGAGGAAGGAAGCCGGTATCTGCGGGGACACCTGACCCCGGGACTCTGTCCTTCGGGTGCTTTCAGAGCTCCTTGGCACAGGGACAGAGCTTTGGGGTCTGCCTTTTCCTGATGATTTTGCTAATGTTTAATCGGCGGCGCCACTTGCCTCTGTCGGGAAAACTGCTGTCTCTTAGCTATGCCTGGAAAGGCCTAGGAAGCAGCAGTGTGGCCATTGTCTGACTGTGGTGGGCTCCCAGGAGACCTCCATGCCCACATCTGGATATCCGTGGAGGCTCTACTTGTCCCGGGGAGAGCGGGGAAGCAGTGGGCGGGCCTGGGCGGGCCTGGGATAGCAAAGAGCAATTTGATAAACAAATCCTCATGAAGTCACCTTTGAGTCTGGAAGAAAGATCCAGCTTCGGTTCCCTCAGTGGTCCAGGCTGACTGCCCACCTACCTGGAGGCTGCTTAGCCTCCAGGAGAATGAGAGGAAGTGACAAGCCCTTTGAGGACCAGCTCTAGTAATGGCAGAGGCAATAACTGCCCTGCAGAGGCTGGACCAGACATTTTGCTCCTGGTTTGGGCCCTCGCTACTATGAAATGCTCTCAGCAACCCAGCAAGGGACAATCTACCTCCAGTAACGTTTGCTCTAACCATGGGCTCTGGTTGAGTTAATGCGACCTGGGCAATGCCTTAGGAGGAACATAACTGAGCTCAAATGTCACTGTCCTGCTCTCTCGTCAACTTGCTTGCTGGGTTCATCCCAGCACCAAATAGGACCGTTCAAGGGAGGATTCCAGCATGCATTCCCAGTGGGGGGTTCTGACTTTTTGGGAATAGTCCCGACTCTACCTCTCAGAGTGCTCAGCTGCAAGACCGGGAGGGTTGAATCAGAGACCCCCTCTGATCTAAGAATTGACAAGTTCTACAAAAGCAGTAAGGGGCAAGCAGGGGGAGTGGGTCAGCACCTGAGTGAGACTGTGTGCAGCCTAGACCCCTGTTTCCTGACCCTCCCTCCATTTCAAGGCCTTGGCACTGAGATGAGGAAAACAAAGCAGAGCAGCTGGGATGGAAATGAAATGTATTTATTTACTACGTATCTGTGTGACTCACGTCTCCGCCGTCTTCCTTTGTGTATTACATAGCTGTGTTAGGCAAGTGAGCGAGGCTGGGCTCCCTTTCCCTCTTATAGCCAAAGAATTTCCCTCTTAGCTGACAGTCTGAAATGATGGCTTTGGCTTTGTACCAGATTTGGGGAGGGGGTGGGGGCAAGTCCTGTCTTACCTGTCACTATTGGAGGGCTATATGTTTGCATCTGTGTACTTCCGGAAAAATTAAGGTGTGGATTGTCTGCCACTCCTTCCTCTGTCTAGGGGGGGAGTTTTCTGTATGGGAGTCTTTCCCAGTAACTGATAGACAAGAAGGATGGATCATCTGTTTTCCCAGGAACTAAGAAAGGCAATAGAAACTGGCTTTGCCTTTTCCCTGCCGAGAATCCTGAGATGCTTGTTCTGTTAGCAGCTCTATTTCAGACTGGAAAAACAAAATACAAAACAGATTTTTCCCTCATTCTGTCCTTCCCTCCTTCAAAATAATGATCTACGTAGTTAAATGTTGTACATAACACATACTGGAAAAAAATGCCGTTTTTCTAATCAGGGAGTGTTAAGCTGGCAGGCGTCCTGGGACATAGGCAATAAAATGACCAGGACAGCCTATAGGGAGGAATGCTTAGTAGCTGGAGAACCCTGTTGGAGACTCAGACTCAGGGCCTGAGAACTGGACTTCATCATTGAACTTCATCCCAACAAAGAGAACCTACAGATGGAGAGAATATAAATAGACCTCATAGGAGTGACAGGGCCATAGGGCCACAGAGGCAGCGTGTTGGCAGGAGGCCCTGGGCTAGTCTGATGCGATCAAAAATGTTCCCCTTTGCGATGTGAAATAGCCTAATTCACACGGCTCCCAGAGTGTATCTCACTTCCAGTTAAAGGGGTCCTCACCCCCGTTACTAAACTGGGCCCTTCTCCTGCTGGCTCCACACCAACTCGCCCATGGAGGCTGGGAGATCGCTCCAGCTTTGTAGATGACATTTTGCTATTAATATCAGGCCATTCCAAGTCATTTAGTTAATGGTTGGATTCTGAAAGGTCCTGGATGTGAACCTGTATTTGACAGTCAGTGGTTCGGGTGCCAACATCGAAGTTCGGGCAAACCATAACTTATTGCTCAACTCCTAATCAATTCATCTGGAGAACGATCCTACAGGGCTGCGGCTTGGAGGCAACCAGAAGGTCAGCTAGAGCCAGGTATTGTGGTGCCCGGCCTATAATCCCAGACTTCTGGTGGCTGAGGCGGGAAGGACTTCCCTAAATTCAAGGCCAGCCTGGGCTACCTGGCAAGTTCCAAGTCAGCCTGAATTACAAAGTGAGAAGGAGAAAGGGAATTGGTTAAGCGCAGTCTGCACCAGGGGGTCCCCAGTTCGGTTTGTCTTTTTCCCCTTAGGAACTATGTGATACTCAGTATGTTGTTTCATCTGAAAAAAAAAAAAAAAACAATTAGACTGGAATGGAGACTACATGGGAAAATTTTGTGTAAAATACTTTGTGGAGTACTTCCTGTGGGCACAGCTGTCATCATGTCAGCAACAGGTGATCGGCCTGTCCTCTTTTTTCCTGATCATCATTGGGATCGTTGCCACCACTAAATTGACTTTGGGACATTAGCGAGCAGATCACTTAGCCCCCTCATACTTTTATCAGGAGCTGAGAAGCATAGCTGGAGGGTAAATCTGCAGGATGGCATGGACTGACAAGGAGATGCTTTATAAACGGGCATACATTGTGTTTATTAATAAGACAGTTGTTTCTCACATGGCACAACGGGACAGTGCCCAGCCGGTCATTGCTCAGTGTGGATTTCAGCGTTATCCGGATCCTTGCTTCTGACATGGTGATCAGCATTGGCAAGGCATTTGGAAGAAGAGTGATTCTGGGGCTGGGGGATGGACCGAGAGGGTGCATGCAACAGGTGGGGCTCTGCCCTCAGAGCCAGTGAGGAAGAGGAGGGGGCCACCTAGAGCGTTTCCACTCACAGTCCCTTTTCACACAGGAAGCATTTGCCTCGCCCCAGGTAGATAGGTATGTGAAACGGACATAGAAATCAAGTAATCGGGGCTGAAGAGATGGCTCAGCAGTCGCTGCTCCTGCGGATTTGATTCCCAGCACCCACGTGGCGGCTCACATTCTCTGAGGATATGACACCCTCTTCTAGCTCTGTGGGCACTACGTATTCACGTGCTGTATATACATACATAAAAGCAAAACGCTCACACAATACAACAATAATAAATTTATTATAAAATAAATATAAAAGTGATTTTCCAGAGAAGTCAAATTTTCACTGATAATAAATTATAAAGAAATTTATTTTGAAACAATTCTTTGATATATAAATACTATAAATTTACCACATATTGAAGACTAAAATAAGTTTTTCTACTGCCATGATATGATTATTTATTTTCACACAATTAATGAAATCTTGGTTGACTATTTAATACAGCAGGGCATAAAATATCTTTAGCATTTTCAGAGTTTATCATGTTTCTGTTTCGTAATCATCAATTCTGAAAATGCCATCCCACATAAATACACAGTACAAAATGACAGGAATATGTTTAGGGCCATCTCAGAAATTGCTGTAAATTCTGTCCTAATCCCAAGGCAAAATTTTATTTAACAATTTTTCATGAAAGTAAAGTCAATCACTCAACCAAACAAAGAGAAAGTAAAGTCAGCAACACAAATAGCCCTTTTTAAAAGCAAATGTTCTACTGGGCAGTGGTGGTGAATGCAGGAGGATCTCTGTGAGTTCGAGGCCAGCCTGGTCTACAGAGTGTGTTCTAGGACTGCCAGATCTACACAGAGAAACCCTGTCTCAAAAAAAAAGTGTTTTAACATAATGCAATCAAAAAAATGAAAAAATGCAATAAAAAAATACTAATTTGATACTTGCCTGTGGAGGAATGTTAGTAAAACAGTATAAAACTTTTGTTTTCCATAATTAAACTATTATGTTTCTATAGGAGCCAAAAAAAAAAAGTTGATAAACACTGCCGTGATAAACATGCAATGGTTTCAAAGCCCAGCTAAGGTGTTCCGGACAGTGTTCTTGGCACCATGTGGTGTGTTAGCACTCTCAGTGAAGAGACGGCACAGTGCGGTCACGTGACACAGCACAGCCTAGACCTGCCAGAAATGCCAAGTTCATTACCTGTTTGACTTTAGCTTCTTCTGTGTCCGTTGAGCATTCAGGAACCTTTCACCACTGCCAAAGTTTTCACAACCCCGGCATTGTTCCCCAGCCCCATATAAATTGTAACCCACAGCTGAAACCCTCTATCCTAGGAGAGAGGCTTTGGCTTCTAGGGCTGGCTCCCTCGTCCAGCTCTCTTTCCTCCTACACACGGCCAGTCTAATTCCAGGGATCATTTGTCTCCTGCCCAACTGAGGCATCTCCTAACTGGTCTGTCCCACCCCCTCAGTCATTCCCCCGTATTAATTGTCTGCAACACCTTCTGCAGCACGGCACAGCATGCAATCCAACCCCGCCCCTTCTCTACTACACCATTCTGTGTCCTTTTGGGAGTGGGGTGGTTTTTGGTGTTTGGTTTTTTTTGAGACAGGGTTTTTCTTTGTAGCCCTGGCTATCCTAGAACTTGCTTTGTAGACCAGGTTGGCCTTGAACTCAGAGAGATCTACCTCTACCTCCTGAATGCTGGGATTAAGGGTGTGCACCACCGCCACTCTGCTTTGTGTCCTTCTTATGCTTGCCCCTTTCATCCCTCTGAGAGCCCACTCTGCAACCCTCAGTGTCCAGTAAGTCCTCTCCACACCACACCAACCTCTCTGCCCGCTCCCATGCGTCACCC